CAGCACACGAGACCTCTCTCCTCAAGTGTCTCCTCTCGAGATCTTCTTCCTTCCCAGCTTTTAAAAAGCAAACAAATGAACTAAAACAAATCTATTTAGATGGGAGTGGCTACTGAAGATTAAAGTTCCCAAGGGCTTTTATATCTTAAAGGAAGTGATTGCTAACTCCAAATTAAAACTAATACATAAGATAAATAGAGAAGACTTTTTAAGCCAGGAGGCAGTACATTCCTGGTGTCCTTTGTCCTCTCTGGGCTGACAGCACCCCAGTTGGTGGCCGCACGCAAGAAGAAACTGAAGCCATTGCTGGGCCCCCCTTCTTTTAAAAGCCTGCCAGGCTCTGGCCTCGGTACCGTTCTGAGCTCATCCAGCTGGGTTTGTGTCTGTAACCTATTGAAAAAGTGACTTCAGTGGAGGTGGTAGGAGGCAGGGACCAGGATTTCCAGAGCAACTATTCTTATTTCATCATAAGACTTGCATGTACTCTACCTCATACTCTGGTAAATTACACAATACTCTTATTCTAATTATGCGATTGTAATCTCCATGGAAGCAAAGTGTCTGACTTACACCCTCTCCAAGGAGTGCTGAATTTAAGCCCAGATTGGGCGAGGATTACTTAGGGTTACACAACTAGTTAATGGCAGGACCAGAAACAGAACTCAGATTTCCTCATGCCGTAATAGCAGCCTGGTATTCTGCCCCTTCTACCTCTGTTCCAGTTATCTGTTGCTGTGTAACACCCCATCCAAAATTCCACTCCTTTAAACAGCAACGCTGCTATTTCTCATAGGTTTCTGGGTCAGGCATTTAGTCGGGCTGTTCTTCTCCATGTGATGTTGATTGAGTCACTCACTTAGCTGGTGTCAGATGGATTGGGCTGAAAGGTCCCGGAAGATGTCATGTACATGTCTAGAACCTCAGTACTTCTCCACTGGCCTCTTTCTCTCCATATTTTCTCTCCTCTCTTTCAGGATTCTAGCCTGAACTTCTTGACATCTTGGTAGCTGTCTTCCTCTAGTGAAAGCAGAAGTCAGCAGAAGCTGGCAGGCCTCTTACACTAGCCCAAAACTGGCACAGTGCAACTTTTACTGCATTCTCTGGGTCAAGGCAGGTCACAAGTATCTATCTGGGAAATAAATACTACCACTTGCTGAGTGGCACCGCATGTACACCAAGGGAGGGAAGGAATTGATGGCGGCCATCTTGGAGACTAACCATAACCGTAGTTAACCAGCAGACATAGCCTTCTCTCCCTAATTTCTAGTGCCGGACAGGATGGAGAAACTCAAGCCTGGGCAGAAACAAAAGAGAAAAGGGAGAAGAGAAATGTCCTGAAACACCGCATCCTTTTCCATCTTCAAGCCTAGCATAGAGTTAAGAAGGTGGCACCCACCTACCCACATGGCCCTCCAATCATTACTTGGCTGAGTTTCTTCTGGTCGTCTTTTGCGCATCAGAGGAGACGGTGCTGCATTTTACAGTAATTTGGTTTTACAGCTACTGCTATGTCTGTTTTCTGTGTCAGGCTTTTAAGTGCCTATTTCTAAGGCCCATTCTCTACATAGCAGTTAAAAACAGTACTTTTCAGTGCTGCATTGTGTATTGCTAAAATGTAATACACCTACAAGTAACCTTTTCAACCGTTAATTTCCATCTATAAGTCAAATTATACTCAGTTGCTAAGAAAAAGCGTGTCTCATTAAGCTTTCTTTTTAACAGTACAGAAGATTCGTATATGAAAGAACAAGCATCTAAGACCGGAAAATCAATTTTCTAGCCTATTCTACCTCTGGCAACATCCCTTGTATGCTAACTAACTTGGTTAGGAATATCCTACATAATGAGGATTACAGGCATACTTCGTTTTATTGCGCTTTGCAGATATTACATTGTTTTACAAATTGAAGGTTGGGGCTACCCTGCGTCAAGCAAATCAGATGGCACCATTTTTCCAACAGCTTTTGTTCACTTCGTGTCTCTGTGTCACATATTGGTAATACTTGCAGTATTTCATTCAAACTCATTCATTTTTAATGTGTTTGTTTGGTGATCTGTGACCTTTGGTGTTACTGTTGTAAATGTTTTGGGGTGCCACAACCCACACCCACATACGACAGTGAACTTAATAAATGTTGTATGTGTTCTGTCTGCTCCACTGACTGACCATTCCCCCATCCCTCTCCCCTTCCTTGGGCCCCTCTATTCCCTGAGACACAACAGTGTTGAAATTAGGCTTAGTGAGGGAGGAATGTTGAAAGCTGAGATAGGCTGAAAGACCTCTTGCGCTGCCCCGGTAGCCAAGCTGTGACTGTGAATGCAAAGGAAAAGCTCTTGAAGGAAATTAGAAGTTCTGCTCCAGTGAGCGCATGGATGAAAAGAAAGAGAAACAGCCTACTGCCGATATGGGAAAAGTTTGAGTAGTCTGGATAGAAGCTCAACCAGCCACAACATCCCCATAAGCCAAAGTCAAATTCAGAGCAAGGCCCAGACTCTCTTCAATTCTACGAGGGCTGAGAGAGGGAGGAAGCTGCAGAGGAAAAGCTGGAAGCCAGCAGAGATTGGTTCATGAGGTCTAGGAAAAGAAGCCGTCTCCATAACATAAAAGTATGAGGTAAACCAACCTTCTATTGGAAGAAGAGGCCAGCTAGGACTTTCATAACTAGAGAGAAGAAATCAGTACCTGGTTCCAGAGCTTCAAAGAACAGGCTGACTCTCTCGTTAGGGGCTAACACAGCCGGTGACTTTAAGTTGAAACCAGTGCTCACTGACCATTCTAAAAATCCTAGGGCCCCTAAGTTATATGCTAGTTCTACTCTGCCTGTGGTCAATAAATGGGACAACAAAGCCTGAGTGACAGTGCGTCTATTTATAACATGGTTTACTGAATATTTTAAGCCCACTGCTGAGACCTCTTGCTCAGAAAAAAGATTCATTTCAAAATATTACTGCTCATTGACAATGCACCTGGTCACCCGAGAGCTCTGATGGGGGTATACAACAAGATTAATGTTTTCCTGCTTACTAACACAGCATTCATTCTCTAGTCCATGGATCAAGGAGCCATTTTGATTTTTAGGTCTTATTGTTTAAGAAATACATTTTCTAAAGCTCTAGCTGCCATAGATGGTGATTCTTCTGATGGATCTGGGCTAAATAAACTGAAAACCTTCTGGAAAGGATTCACCATTCTAGATGCCATTAAGAACATTAAAGATGCCTAGGAAGAGGTCAAAAGATCAACAGTAACAGGAGTTTGGAAGAAGTAGATTCTAGCACTTATGGATGACTTTGGGAGATTGAAGACTTCAGTGGGCGAAGTCACTGCAGATGTGGCGAAGACAGCAAGAGAACTAGAATGAGAAGTCAGCCTGAAGCTGTGACTGAATGGCTACAATCTCCTGATAAAACTAACGGATGAAGACCTGCTTCTTATGGATAAGCAAAGAAGGTGGTTTCTTGAGATGGAATCTTCTCCTGGTGCAGATGCTGTGAAGATTGTAGAAATGGCAACGAAGGATTTAGAATACCACATAAACTTAGTTGATAAAGCAGCAGCAGGGTTTGAGAGGATTGACTCCAATTTTGAAAGAAGTTCTGTGGGTAAAGTGCTATCAAACAGCATCACATGCTGCAGGGAAATTGTTCATGAAAGGAAGAGTCCGTTGATAGGCTTCATTGGTATATTAAGAAATTGTCATAGTCACCTCAGCCTTCAGTAACCACCACCCTGCTCAGTTAGCAGTCATCAGCATGACGGCAAGGGTCTAGACCAGCAATGGCCAGCATTTTTAGCAACAGAGTATTTATTTTATTTTATTTTTAAGTAACCTCGACACCTGACATGGGGCTCGAGCTTACAACCCTGAGATCAAGAGTCGCATGCTCAACCAACTGAGCTAGCCAGGCTTTAAATTAAGGTATATATGTTGCTTTTTTAGACATAATGCTGTTGCACACTTAATAGACTACAATATAGTGTAAACATAACTTTTTTTTACATTTATATAAACACAACTTTTATATGCAACTGGGAAACCAAAAAATTCATTTCATTTACTTTATTGTGATATTCTCTTTATTGCAGTGCTCTGGAACCAACCCCACAATATCTCTAGGGTATGCCTGTATTCTCTTACTCTGAGAAAAATTCTCTTAATCTTCTAAATTTCCTTGGGAAATTTTTTTGCATGTATGTTTTTTTCCTTAACAAAAACAGAGGTTTTTTTGTTGTTTTTTTTTGTTACAGTTAGATTGTCTTTTACAGTTTAGATAATTATTCAACCTAGAGTATATTTTCCTAGAAACAATCAAATAAATAAAATTCTCTAGTGTCATATCAAAAGAGGAAATGTAAGAGCAGCTATTTATGGACTGTAGGGGCAAAACATTTCCAAGTGCTTTGGGAAATCTCACATTTAAAGAGATTATCATTGTCTCTGGTTCCCCAAATGTATGTGAGGAAATGTGATATTTTTGTACCCAGCTGCCTAGGGAGTAGGGTCCACTGAAACACATTTTTTTCTCCCCATTCGTGTGGCTCGGATATTGAAGATATTGTCTGTACTTTTTTTATACCAGGTTGTATGGGTAAACATTTACACATGGCACAAAGCTAGCATTCAGTTGGAAGAAGTCCAGTTTTGTTTTGTTTTGTTTTGTTTTGTTTTTTAACGTTTATTTGTTATTGAGAGAGAGACAGAACGTGAGCAGGGGAGGGGCAGAGAGAGGAGACACAGAATCTGAAGCAGAATCTGAGCTGTCAGCACAGAGCCCGACGCGGGGCTCAAACTCACAAACCGCCGAGATCACGACCGGAGCAGAAGTCGGTCGCTTAACTGACTGAGCCACCCAGGAGCCCCGAAGTCCAGTTTTATTTTTTAACACTGTACCATTTCTCTTATTTTGTGCCTCGATAAAATCATCCAAATCACTTGGAAAACTGTGGGGATTTTACTAAATTTTAAAAATTTTCCATATCTTTACCCCTTTCATTTTAGGAAGAAGAATTAGAAGCCCAGATTTCCTTCCTTCAAGGACAATTAAATGACCTGGATGCCATGTGCAAATACTGTGCGAAGGTGATGGACACCCATCTTGGTGAGTGAGCTGCTTTGTCCCCGGGAGTGATGATGGTCATAACAACAGTATCCACTTGGCCCTGTGTTGAGCTTTTCATGTGAATTATCTCATTAATTCTCACAGCAGCACTGTGGGAGAGCTACTGTTACTGTCACCATTGTACAAGTGAGGAGACTGAAGCCCAGAAAGATTAATAAAATTTCCCAGGATCATAGTACTAGTAAGTGGAGTAGAAATTCAAAATCAAGCAGTTTGACTATAGATTTCAATTCTTAACTGCTACACTGCCCTTTATAAATATTTGTCTACATCAAACCAAAATGAAATGTTGACCTTTCAAGGTCAAATGGTCAGCTCTACTGTTGTGCCAACCTATCTGTAATTACTATTGTGATTATTATTTTGACAGTGCTTTATTTTTTAAATACATAGGCTTTTTTTTAATGTTTATTTATTTTTGAGAGAGAGAGACAGAGACAGAGTGGGAGTGGGAGAGGAGCAGAGAGAGAGGGAGACAGAGTATTTGAAGTAGGCTCCAGGCTCCAAGCTGTCAGCACAGAGTCCGACGTGGGACTCGAACTCACGGATCGCAAGATCATGACCTGAACCAAAGTCAGATGCTTAACCGACTGAGCCACCCAGGCACCCCTTAAATACATGTTTTTAACCACCAGCCTGAAATGCACGTCAGGACCACATGACCTTTTCTTACTTCTGACTGTGCTTATATTCTAAGAAATGTCCTAGTTTGAAGTTCAGTTTATGTGTGAGTCCTACATATGTCACATTAGAAAGTCTTCAGGCATTACTCTCTACATTTGTAAAAGTTCTGTATTTTGTAATAGAAATGGTCTCTGGTGGAATCACATATGTTTTGCTTCAGTAACTGTGCTGCTTGCGAAACTTCATAATGCATACTATTACTGGTTTTCAGTTCTCTTACAGACATCCTTTTTCTGTCCGTTATCTTCTTTCTCCAGTGTCTAGCATCTGTAGTTTGGGAACAAATTAGGAAAATAAGACTTATACTCTGATAGACGTAGCCAATATGCTGCTGTGTAAGTGTGGACAAATGACAATACCAATTACTATAAGGTATCAGGATGCATCCAGTTGTGAGGGGAAATCAAAGAGAATCCACCAAGGCAGAGGTCCTAGGAGTGGGCCATCCCTGGAGCCTTCCCTGAAGGTGGACTTTACCTTGGGCTCCATTGACTCCTCAGCCTATTCATGAGTTCACTTGCATGTGGCCCAAACAGCTGTCATTTAGGTGTAGCCTAAACCGTACTGGCCTCTAGCAAGTAATGTTCCCTTACAGATTTGGAGAGGTGCTTGACCTCAGTGGCTGGTTGTCCACCAGTGTCTTACGAGGCAGCTGGCTGGGCCCTGTTCCATCATCAGCCTTATTTCTCCTCTCTCGACCACTCTTCTCCTTTAGAGAAAGAGCTCAAGAGGGAGAAACAACAGGGGAAACCCTGGCAGGTGATCAAAAGGGTAGTACCCCTGATCACAGTAAGAAATGTTACCCTTGTCACATCTGGTCCACCCCTGTCGAAACGATTTATTTATATGCTTCATGATGATCATCTTTAAAAATGCATATAGAACTAAGTTTATGTGAATCTCATAGCATCCCACTATAAATGCATCAAAAAGAAGTCATTAAGAGAGATACAGTTTATATATAAATAATATATATTATATAACTAATTTTAGTTTATTTAAATATAATTTTTAATTTTAAAGCAAGTGTGTGGGGAGTTGGGGGGAGGGGGGCATGTGTGTTTGTGTATGTTTGTTTCTCTGGCCGTGTGGGTGACCTTTGTAGTGCTTGATTTTGGTTTTGACCAAAGTAGGAGAACAAAGAAGTGACTGAGAGAAAGATGTACTGGAACTCTAGAAAATCCTGTTAGGAAATCTCTAGGTTGTTTGGTCCACATAGCAGCTTTTCAAGCAGCTTTACTTAAGCCTAAGAATTTTTAAAGAGCTTTCGCTCTGATTTTGGTCTTTCAGTCAGCTCTGTAAGAGTATTTTCTCACTGCATGGGAGGGGGGAGCACTTTAATTAAAGAAAAGCCCATACCAGATGTGAATTTTCAACTAACCACCAAACTAAATTCGTTTCTGTGTGTACGTTTCACTTTCAGCCAGAATCCCCTCATACAGTTGTCAGCTTCTTTTCTCCATATAAATAGCAGGACACTTTATAAAATGGGCTTGAAGGGGTGGGGGGGGGTGCCTGGGTGGCTCAGCCAGTTAAGCGTCTGACTTCAGCTCAGGTGATGATCTCACGGTTCATGAGTTTGAGCCCCAAGTCAGGCTCTGTGCTGACAGCTCAGAGCCTGGAGCCTGCTTCAGATTCTTTGTCTCCCTCTCTCTCTCTGCCCCTCCTCCCCACCTCAAAAATAAGTAAACATTTTAAAAAATGTTTTAAATAGGCTTGAAGGATGCTACAAAGAATTCCTGGCCCCAGGGCCCACAGATGCATTTCTGTCCACCTGCCTATTATAACAGTGATTTATTTATTAAAGGGTATGCCTATGTTGTAGGCAATTTTGATTCTAAGCAAAAATTAGAGGAAAACACAAAGATTAATTAAGGGAAACTCTTGATTGGCTCTTTGACTTATTGGACTTCTTTTAAAAATTACTTCAGCACCCTAGTATTTTTTCCATATGATGTTTTCTGTTTTTCCCAATTATTAAAGTAGTACAAAATCGGAACCACTGAAAAACCCATTAGTAAGTGACTGATTATAACTTAGTATAATGCCATCTTATCGAATATTAAAGTACTTTCTTATTAACAAGGAGATGTTCATGCTATATTATTAAAGGAAAAGATAGGTAGCACAACAGTATATATTTGATGCAAAAATAACCATTAACAGTCATGGCCTGGCTGAAAGGATGATTGTAGGATGACTTTCTGGGAGACCTAGTTTTTATGCTTGGAAGATGCAAGGTGGTCACTGAAAATCTGTAGGTGGCTGAAGTGCAGCTAGCACCTGGGACTTCGTCTTCACGCTCCAGGCAAGAGCCCCTTTCTGAGAGTGGCTGGCGTGGTGTTTGAGGAGAGAGCCCCGTGTGGCGGCAGACACAGGGTTGAGGTCAGACTCGGTCCCTTCTTAGCGCAGCCTGCTTCTGATAGTGTCTTCATATAGAAAATGGAGATGCAAATATCTACCTTGCCAGTTTGTTGCCAAGACTAATGTGCTTTTAACCCCAGCACAGGGCATGGCCCAAAGTCGGATCTTCAACACATATTCTCTCCTCTGCCTCATTAACTCTTAACTGTCCCTTCTCAGGGAAGATCATCGAGTCTGTGACCAGAGTGCTGAGTACTGACATGTGCAGGCCCCTACAACTAGTTAGTGGCCGAACTAGGACCAATACCACATTTCCCAACCCCTAACTAAATATTCCCTTGTCAGTGATGCAGAAAGATGCTGGAATTGGGATACGCCGGTCCTTGGGTTAGGTGTGTGAGCTCTTTGGGCAAGAAGAACTTTAATGATGCAGAGTCCTTGACCTGAGCGGCTGGGCCTCCATTATGCACTGGGCCACAGGCTACCAAGGCAGCTCTGAGAACTGCATCAGAAACTATTCTAGGAGGTATATTCTGTATCCTTTCCTAACGTTAATTGTTTTCACCAAGTTCCTTTCATTTCAATAGAATTCCATATCACCCTGCGCTTTCATCATTTCAGTAATTTTAAAACGTCAAGTACAGTTCAAGGCTGTTTTTATAACTGACAGAACAAATATAGAGAAAAACATCTCAGTTAAAAATTATATAAAGGCACTTGTTCAAATGGTCCTTTAATTAGAGAGGTAATAACATTGACAGCTTAGCAGTTACTTCCTTATGGGCCTGGAACCCAAAACTAAAGAAATATTTGTTTTATCAAAACTCTACCAAAATTTTATTACTTCCACATAGTTGAAGCACGTGAATCCAAACACTGAGAGACAGGAATTGAAAATGCATGCATTTATTAAATCTAAACTTTCCTGTCAACTTCAGAAGGCTTGTTGTACGTGTTCATTTTTCTGTTGCTATAGTTACTCCCCTTCCCGTCACCCTGACAGTTGAGTCAAAGGCCATTGACAGTATTAACCTCAGGTGGTTGAGCTCAGGCTATTTTTAGGTTTGCCGTATTTTACTCATAATTGCACGTGGGTGAGCGGCCCACGCTTCTCTGTTCTGTGAGCAGCTGGGCTGAGCTGCCAGCTGTTTACAGGGAGTGTGAGCTGTTCACCCTGCTGGCCCTAAAGGCCCCACCTGCCCACTCCCGGGGGAGGTATTTCCAGTCTCTGTTCGGTATTTAGAAGTGGTTTCCAGCGGCTTGCCCTTTCATTGGTGGCTCATGTAAACAATGGCAGGGTTAAATGCAGTGAATTAAGGGAAGTTGGGTTTCCCAGAGTGCTGTAGCTCCTAGGAGCTTAGAATGTTGAACAGGTGGAAGCTTTAAAAGCCAACTCAGCAGTTCTTCATTGCGAAGATGAGGAAAGCAAGGTCCAGGAAGGATGAGAGGCACACAGCTGGCTTGTGGCACACACGCCATGAGTCTAGACCCAATTTCAGTCCCTGGCTTCTCTTTTACTGACGCTTTGACTAAAGCCAACACTTGAATCGGTAGTTGGATTTCAGATCTTCTGCTGTTTCATTGCACGCATCATTACCGATTTTGCACTTGTCATAATATTTATGTAAGAATTAGCTGTAAGAGGAGGCCAGTTTTGAAAATCAGTTTATTTGCTTCTGCAAGAACTTTATAAATCTCATTTTCTCATGTTTATAAAAACAACTTTCAATGGACGTCTGTGGAAATGTTCAATAAGGCAGTTAACTAATCACATTTGAAAAAAACAGGGAAGGAAAATGTGATCACCAGACAGCTTCCTCTCTGTCAATCACACTGTGATAAAAGTTTTCATTACTATTTTAAGAATTTTAAATGCTGCATTTAATTGTGGGCAGCATAGTCCTCTGTAGAAGGAGAAGATACCTTCCCTT